GTAAGAATGTTTGGACAGTTATTATTAGAAATACTTTTTATATGTGTAAATTACTAAAAAAGGCATAAGTTAATATAATAATTATATAAAAGATAGATTTTATAATATATTTTAATTTGAAGCAATAAAATTGTTAATAATATATTTTTTACCAACATAATTAATAATATATAAGATAATATAATTAATAAATAATTAATATGTGTATATGTATTAATAAAATATAAGATTAAATATGTTTATAAAAAAATAATTGAAGGGTGTTAAAGTTATATTATTATTGATATTTATTTTGACAGACGCAATCATACTCTCCAATTTAAGCCAGAAGCAGAATAGATTCACATCTTCTAAAATTATAGTTTTAAATCCAAAACCGTGATTTGTGCTTCTTCCTTCCTGTTTGGCAATTTTCCCCCCTAAACCATGGTCTGGGTAATTACCCAAACAGGCCCTGATGGAACACCGCGCAGGGGTTTGCCATGGCGATCCTTGCTCTTCGTTACGATTAGCATCCTGAAAGGCGGATGTTACAATGCATGCATATAAATTGAGCCTCTATATATTATTTTCGAAAATCCATCAAGTAAATAGTTTTTAATTTCTAAAAATTTATAAAATTGCTTGCTATATGGTTGACTTTTTTTATATGAATTTCAAATATCTCTCTCGTTTTTCAGAAATTTAAAAAGTCATAATTAATTCTTTATGTAAATACATTGAAATTAGCAAAAATGTATTTAATGTTCAAACATATCTAAATAGGATCTTATAAAAAGTATCAAATTAAGGAGGAGTTTGACAACCTTTATAACTCCTTAAAAAATAATTTTCACATAAGTTGAAATAAAATTTCTCTTATATAAATACCTTGTACTCTATAAAATTATTCCTAAGAAACTAATCCAAACAGCCCCTTAATTCAAATTTTGAACTCTGATTAAAAGGATTCTTTTTCCAGCCTATAAAAAGGATTGAATGGAGTACATAGTAAATTTTCAAGAAGAAATAGCACCACTTTGATCCCTAATATAAATCAGTTGGAAAACATTCTCACGTACTAATTGATAAAAAATTTTAATTTTATTTTTATTAAAGTTTTCTCTTCTTCCTCTCTTTTCAATAAAAATTAAATAAAAATAAAATTAAAAAATAAATATTAAATATTGTGCAAGTGACTTGTATCTGGAATTTTCCATTAAAACAGCTAACTTATGATTGAGTTATTACAGAATGTTTATCCATCATATATCAAATGCAAACTTCAATCCTGTGTTAATTTTTATCTCAATCGTGTTGAATCAAGTGGAAGGAGAGTGAGTGTGACATCAAGTTTTGAATCTTGCGTATATGATCACTGCTGCCATGTCCATTAATAACCAAATTAACTAAATAACTAAATAGTTCATATTTCCAACACCGAAGCGAAACCGAACGCTACTAACTAACTGAACCGAATTAACCAAAGTAAATCGGTCTGGTTAGATAGTTTGTTCGGTTATCTAGTAGAAATGCAAGGAAGTGATGGTTTAGAGAGGCTAAGAGCAATTAGAATACAAGTTATAAATTAATGAACAGAGAGCAACAAATGGAGGCAACACGACGGATAAACTAGAAAATATGAAAAGGAAGAAGCTAAGAGGAATCAAAATAGGAGTTACAAATCTAATAGCAGAGAGCCTACAAGTAGATACCACAAGGGAGTGAGAAGGGAGAAAGGGTCGATTCGCTGAGAGAGTGAGCACGGTGAGGACTAGCAACGGCATAAAGATTGGGTCTGGGTCGACGATCAAAGACTGGAGAGTAAGGATGGCAAGTGGGAGACATCGAGTGTGAAGCTGTGATTTGATGAAGGGGACTAAAATCACCAAAGGTGAAAGCTAAAGCTTGAGTTTGAGAGCAGTTGAGAGATTGCCGCCGACTTATTCTGGGGGATGGGACGTGATGCGGCAACGCAAAAGAAATGACAGTAGGGTGTAGGGTTTTTTATTTTTATGCGCTTGAGGCTTTTTTCAAGGTGGGCTTCATGTTTTCATAAGGTAGAACTATTCGATAGTTGGGCTTAGACTCAATAGACAATAATAACCCAACTTTATTTTATAATTTGGTTTTTCCGGTTAAAACGGAATTTTTTTTTATTTTAACTGAACTGAATACTAAAAACCAATAATTTTTAAAATAAAAACCGAACAAAAACTAAAAACCAAATTAATTGAACTAAAAAAATTGAATTAGGTTCGGTTCGGTTCGGTTTTCAATTTCGGTTTAATTTTGCTCACCTCTACTACTCATCATCTTTGCTTTATATAATATTTAAATTAACTAATAGCGATATATACTACTCTAGTTCTATTTATAAGACACTTTCAACATATTTTACACAGACTAAGAAAAATTTTAAACTTCATTAACTCTCATTTAAAATTTAATAATTTTTCAAATTTATCCCTATTTAATATATATTATATGTCATGTAAACAAAGTCAATAGAGTAATAAATAACAGGTAAAATTATACATCTATACAAAAGATTTCTCTCAGTGCCGTATAAATGAGACCAAAAATTATCTTCTCTCTCTACCCTATAAATAGGACTAGAGGAGTATATTTGATGAGTATAAAAAACTTGGTTTGACAAAAAAAAGTAAAAGTTAACTTAAAATACTTATTACTAATATTTCTAAAGATTAGTGATCAGTAAAATAAGTATATCAATTAATGAAATCTTTATAATGATGCTTCAAATTATGATAAACACGTGTAATCTTCCCAAATAAAGAAACACAAGAAGTCACGCTTGTTTACGTGCCCTTGAAGATTGTCTATCTACACTTGTTGCCCATTCTGTTGAAATTCTCAACTAGAAAAAAGAAATGCTTTTCACGCTATTTTGTAAATTGATTTTATAAATAATTAAGTTGTTTAAATACTTAGTTAATTGTGTATATAAAAAATGCTTCATATATATATATATGTTTTAGTGGTTTACTCAAAAATTAAAAGTAACAATAAATCATTTATTTTAGAAAATCATATTTGCATAATTTATTTTTATTAATGATATGTCATTCACAGGTAAATTATTTTGGCCTCAAATAGCACTGATGGCCTTGTGCCTCCACGGTGAATTCAGGGCAAAAAAAAAGAAGAAGAAGAAGAGTGAAGACCGTCATTACTTATCAGAGTTTGTAGATGTATTTTGGAACAACTGTTGATTAATATAAAGCCAAGTATACGTTTATATATGCATTTATTTTTGTTTCTTGGATACTCCACGTGTCCCCATGCTCTTTCATTATTTTGAATAAGTGGTCATTAAATGTATTGTGTCATTGAATGTCTCAGCCGAGCCGCCTCATATTTTGATGACAAGGAATTTGTTCACATATGATTTAGAATTTTAAATCCATCCTCAAGAGCTTTATATTAATTATGATATTATCAATGGTATTATAACTGTTATGTCAAGTGTTTATTGATATGTTTTGAGGCTTAAAGAATGTGAGTTTTCTCATATTTTATGCCAGTCACCCTAAATTTTTAAAGTGTGAGGAGGATGAAAGTGATTGATTATTTTATGACATAAGAAAAGAATCTCGTATAGTTTTTTTTTTAAATCAAAGATTGTTAACTTATACTATTTCTACTTTAATCTTAATCGTTAAAATGCAACGGAATGTTGATTAGATAATTCTATATATCCAAAAGTAACTTTCGGCTAAGACAGCTTGATACAAAGGCACCAGGAAAACAAACGAGAATTTAGCTAGGATGGTTGGCTAACTAAAAAAGAAGAAAGTTTTGGAAGGATTTATAAATTAAAATCAGAAAGGGATGAGAATATAAAGGTAACGTGAATGTGGGTGGAGGTATAAAGTCAATGATTCATGGCAAATTACACAAGCAACCACACGTTCCTTTTGCTCAGAAATATACTATATAATGTTATTCTCAGTTTTGGATATAAGTGGATTAACTTGACCTCCTTGTTTGCTGTTCTAATACCGTTAATGCTGTAAGAGTTTGGGTCGGTACATATTGTGAGGTTATAGATTTTGCCTCATAAGGTACGTACGCACGTAGCTCTAGTTTGAAGAATTGCATGTAAATATGTTCTAATTATGAAAACGCGCGTTCTCCAATTGCGGATTGAGTGAGTGAGTTATGGCTGAGGAATGTGTTTACAACGACAGAGTTATAAAGCCGCTAGAGAAGTGGTACTCTGAGGGGTACTCTGGGTGGTAATCGAGAGAGTGGTCTAATTTGGTAAAAAACTATCTGATAGCTCACCGTCTTTGGGGTGTAATGACTGATGATGCCGCTACTCATCAAGATGATCCCTCTTGGAGGCAAAATAATGAAGAAGCATTGCGCATCTTACGCATCTCATGCTTTCCAGAGACTCCTCGTCTTATAGAAGGAGTCGCTGAAGCCAAGGCTGCCTGGCGCATTCTTCATCACAACTTCGCCCACAAACCATCTCGTAACCTTAATTATTTATACAAGGGTTAATTTTCAAATTTACCTTGAAAGTTTTCATTTCAAGGCGCTGGGCACTTACAAGTTTTTTCGGATGCAAATTTATTCAAAAATTTAAAATATAATAATATTGCTGCTGTTAATGTTAAAAATTTTAACGGTCAATATTAGTTTTTTGACGTGAAGAGGCAATATTGTTAAAATTTTAAACTATAAAATAAATTTGCACAGGAAAAAGAAGTTCAGGTGCCCAGCGTTCTTGAGTGATTTCTAGGACAAATTAACACATTAACCCTTATACACACACAGCTCTCTTTCCCGACTATGTAATTAGAAAACAACTCAATTCTTTTCTTAGCTTGATAGTTTTTTCTGTTGTACTTACATGTGATATTATTCAGTCTTCGTTAGGGGGGAAAAAAACAACTCAATTAAGACATACTGATATGAAAAAGTTAATTACTACTCGTGCTGATATATATACACACACATATATATATGTGAATTGTTGGTTAGCTATCATGAACGCAGCAGGAGCAACTTCTTTTGATGTGCGCATTTTGTACAATGATATATGTTCTAACAACTTGGAGGCAGCAAAACAAATCCTTGAGCAACATTCAAGTGCCTGGACGGCAAAACTTACAGCTACAAATGGAACACCTCTCCATGTGGCTGCACTTTTTGGACATGTAGAACTAGTGGAGGAGATGGTGAAATTAGCTAGCCCAGAATTCCTCGAAATAGTTGACGATTATGGCTCTACTCGACTTGCAATTGCTGCATCCACTGGAGACACTGAAATTGTAAAATGCATGCTTGATAAAAATAGAAACTTACTTGAAATTCCAGACTTGAGACTTCATCTTCCTGTTGCATTGGCCATTGGTGCTGGTCAGAAAGAAATGGGACGTTTTCTCTATAGGGAAACCACATTGGAAGTATTGAAACCCCAAAATGGCTATCTAGGTTCTCGACTTCTTCGTGCATGTTTCGAAGTTGGTGAACTTGGTAATCAAACCTAGCTACCCATCCCATAATGGGAATAGATATCATTTCTCTATCTAATTTTGTTGGCTTTTTTTTCCCTTCTCTTTATTTCACATCTTGCTATGACTATGTAAAATAATTACAGATATTGCTCTGCATCTACTTGAACAATGCGAAGATATCATTTTTGTCATAGACCACACAAATTGGACACCAGTTGCGAGTATAGCAATCTTGCCTTCTGCAGTTGAGAGTGTAAGTCAACTTGAATTCTGGAAAAGATGGATTTATCACTGTGAGTCTCTCACTACCTTTCAAATATCTTTCTTTACAGAATCCATCTATATACTTATTTTTACAAAATTTAATGACAAAAAAAGGAAGTGTACTTTTAAATTTTCTCCAGTTTAATTCTGCATTTCTCTAATGTCTCTTATAACATCCTCTCCTATATTTAAATGGGAAAGACCATCAAACTAAGTCAATAAGGGAGCTTCTTTCCATCCATTTTCCGTTTTACCTTTAATGAAGCTCATTTTTCTTTTAATTTGCTTCTCTTGTCTTCCTTTTTTGGTGGAAGCCATACCTGTACCATCAACCACAACGACCGATAATGTTTGTGTAGACATTCAGCAAGAAGGTGACGATAAAAGCATTCAAGGTATGCATACTTAGAGAGAGAGTGTGTGTGTGTGAAAAACCCAAGCTTACTTATAAATTCTCTCAAATGATTTAAAAATGAACTAAAATGTGAATTTTTAACACTTTGCTTGCAGCAGGGCATGGTCTACTGCACTGGTTCATCCCTAAAGTCTACTCTTTGTTAGTTATATCATATCGTATGCTAAGAAATCGCATACCTAATGTGTACGTTATGAAATAAATCTCATAAACACAACCTAGAGATAGTTACACGTGAGTTGTGAATGTACATATAGGAGTGAAGAAAATATATGAGCTGAAGTTGAAGCATGCACAAGCATCTCAAATTCTAAAACTACTTTGTTGGAGGGTACCTCTTTTGGATGAGCAACAACGTGGAATAGTTAAAAATGCACTCTGCCTTGCGGCCAAATGAGGGCTTGTTGATTTTTTGTCTGAAGTATCAAAAACAAACCCGCAATTAATCCAGTTGACTCTGGACGATAGAAATTGGAATACTTTCTTCTATGCTATTGAACATCGTCAAGCTAATGTTTTCAGCCTAATTCACGAGTATCGCTTCAAGAATTTAGTAGCATCAGTGGTAGATACCGACCAAGATTTCATGCTGCATGTTGCAGCTAAGTTGGGTCCTTCTAATCGCCAACCTCACCGCTGTCCAGCTCTGCAAATGCAAAGTGAAATGCAATGGTTCAAGGTTGGAAATATATACACACACATACACATCCATGCATGCATATATAATAATTATTTTTATGAAACAAATGCATGCAGGAAGTTGAAAGATTAGTACCTCCTGGACTGAGGGTATCTTTGAATAATTGGAGTGGGCAAACACCAAAAGACACATTCAAAGAAACTCACACAGATTTAAGGGATGCAGGAGAAAAATGGATGAAGGATACAGCATCTCCTTGTTCTGTTGTTGGTGCTTTGATTGTTACCGTCATGTCTGCGGCAACTTTTACTGTTCCAGGAGGATACAATCAAAATACTGGACACCCAGTGTTTTTGAAAGACAAGTTATTTATACTTTTCATGATCTCGGATGCACTATCATTGTTTTCCTCAACAACTTCTGTGCTGACATTTTTAGGGATTTTCACCTCACGTTATGCTGAAGTAGATTTCCTCATATCCTTACCAAAAAAATTGATCATAGGCCTTTCTACGCTCTTCTTGTCCATTTTAACCATGATGGCAGCATTTTGTTCAAGCATCATTCTCCTATTCCAGCATATATACTCATGGTCTTATCTTCCTGTTGTTATTATTGCTAGTGTCCCAATAAGCCTCTTTGTATTGTTACAGTTTCCTCTTCTTCTTGATGTGATTTATTCTACTTATGGCCCAGGCATCTTCAAGAGAAATGTAAAATAAACCCTTAGCCATGAAATGTTGCTGTTATTATCCCACTACTTGTATATTTCTACTGAATAATATATTTTTCTCGCAAGTCATATATATATCTACACACAGACACACACACACACGTTCAAATGTTGATCGAAAGGAAGAGGAGGGGAAAGAGGATAAAAAAAGAAGATGAGAGGATCCTCTCCAGATGTTGCATAGGTGCAGCTAATTTGAGGCTGGGTAATGTGGTTGAAAAATTATATATTACCTTTAGTCCTTAATATAAGAACCAAATAATTAATTTGAAGAGATTAAATAAATTGGTTAAATTAGTTATTTATAACAAATGAATGTTGATTTCTCTATACTACCTTATTTAATTATATAAATTGGAATTACCATTGTAACAAATGTATGTATGTGCATGTGGTTGTCATCCTGTAACCTGTATATTTCTATTGAATAATATAAGTTTCTTGCAAATCATACATATACACACACACAGACGTTCAAATAATGTTGAAAGAAGAGGAGGGAAAGAAGATTAAAAAAAAAACAGAGAGAGAGAATCCTCTTCAGAGGTTTAATTAACAAATTTGAAGAACTATTTACATTTTTTTCTGCATAACTCCTTTTTCTTTTCTCTAATTGGCATATGTTGTTGGATATATTGGGCATTGATTCGGCTTATATGATTCTGAAAGATGTTAATATGAACAATTTTGAAATTATATCTCACTATCCTGACCAATGTTTTTTTGCTTGCTGAAAAAAAATTGAGCAATGTTGTTAGTTCTAGTATGATGAAACAATTCTTGGAGTTAAAATGAATTTTTAAAAAACAGTGTGTTGACTTATTTCTAAAAATAGTTTCATGACGCTAGGATATAATTTAATACATTTGAGATATAGCCAATAAAATTCTTCACGTAAAATGACGGGGAAATGGAGGATATATTGCCCTTTCCTTTGCCTACCTGCCTAGCGCACTGACGCAGATCAAATTTTTATATTTGCAAAGTATATATTTAAAATTAGCATATATGGTTTAAAGAATCAAATTAAACATTGTCCTTGGAATTTGATATTGAAATTTGAGTCAATTTTAAGTTTAGTCTTTCAAAGTTTAAACCTGTGATTTTAATTTCTAAAATTTAGTTTGTTTTAATTAAGCATTACTCTTCCATTTATATCATCAACTACTTGCTTTGCATCACACTCCACTTCAATTTGCGAAATGCTAGATCCCAATATAAATTTAAGCCTTCAATAATGCCCCATACCTCTACACTAGCTACATCTTTGGCGTTTCACCCAAGCACTCTCAACAATTCCCTCTAATTACTCCTCTACATTCTGCTATGCTTCCGTAATCTCTCAACCCATCCATGTTGAGTTTACACCACTCTTCTTGAGGATGCTTCTAGCCAACAAATATGATTTCTTCTACATCTTGCAGCTTCTCCGAAGACCATTTTGCCTAAAATTCTCAACGTACTGCTTCATTAGTTCTATTGTATTTCAAGGCATCTTCCACTCTGCATTATGAACTTGGCAGTTGCGCTATTTCGAGATACCAACATCTAATCACGCACAATTTTAGCCAATAAAGTTCCTCCTGCTTCCTTCCTTTCTAGCTTAAGGTTTAGCCAATCACCCCAACTCTTACAAAAAAAACTCCCCTTGTTTCTCCTTTAGTACCAGTCTCTTACATGAGTACGTAGCGGTATTGAAATCCCATAAAACATGCATTTGGGATTCTATTTCAAGCCTATTATATATGAGTTAAATTGGCCAGACCAAGTTTAGTTCAGCCTGACTTTGGGTCAGTGTTGGACCAAACTATACCACTGGTTGCTTTATGCAACCTAAGGTCTTCACCAGATCAAACCATCAACCCGGTTTGGTGTTGTCCATCAACACCTTTCTCTGCTACCATATGCCTTTCTTCTGCATCCTTCAATGACTTTGGTAGTGATTTATGTAACACTTTAAAAACCTGCTCATTGTACTTAACATATTCTCTGCGCACCAAAGATATATAAGGAACAAGCGCACATCATCCAAAGCATATCATATCATGGTTATAATAGATTCCACTTATCTCAAGCACATAACCATGTTAGAAAAGGTTGAACTCCTAACATGGTCATGAAAGAGGATACCTTGCGCCTAATTAACATAGTTGTAATGACAGGGTAGATACTAAAGAAAATAGTAAATCAATAAAACAGGATCCGCTTATTCACCACACTTGTATTACCAGTCAAGATGTGGATCTGGGCCCAAATTGGGCCTTCTTGACAAATATCCAAGTTAACACCAAACTACAACAAAATGGAAGTTTATTAAACCAACTCAACGACATCCAAAAAATTAATGACTGCCAAAGTCCCAGGTGCAAATAACCAAAAGTTAACATAAAAGAATGATTTGAGGTAGGGGTCACTTTGCCATGTGTTCAGCCTCATGTTTCTTTCCCAGCGTGGCTCCTCTACTATTCTCACTTGTAAAAAGTAACGAAGTGAGACAAAATGCCCCAGTATTAACTTCTACCCACTGTGCCAACTAGCACCTCTAAGAGATACTCAATAGGACTAATAATTAAGGAAAATATTATTTACATTACTATTCCATAACCAAAACAATAACATGCCATATAGAGCAAAGTAAAGACAAGAATACCATAATTCATAGTTTTCCATTATTGTTCATTAATTAATTTCAATTCCCGCCTTCTGTCCTCTTTATACCTGCCAACCTAAATCTCAGGTTGAATCCTACCATATGATCGGTGACTTTTATGAGCTTTCCTCACGTGTGATGTGGACTGGCTAAATTTAGAAGAGCACACGCAGGCAATAGACTCCTCCAAAAAAAGAGTTTGCTGCTTTAATGTGTTTATTGCCCAATATCCTAGCGGGTATGCTGCCCTTGGGGTATACTATCCTAGGATACTCTTGGAGTGTCACAAAATGAGGGTATACTAGCCTCTCCAGAGTGCTAACCATGATGTGCTTTATAGAGGTGAACCACATAGTTAAGAATAACTACCAACAATATTACCTCCCCATTATTACAATTTATATTAATTTCAAATCAAGATATTCCTCAATTCTTAACAGTATTATTATAACATCATTAGTTCAGCTTAACAGCCATTACCACGTATACAAAGCAGTAGGGTTTTAATTGTGTCATAACCACAATAATAAAGTACCAACATGTGGCTATAAATCATACCTCTCATATTCATAGTTCTAAATCACAAAATCATAAGAAAATCAGGCAACCACAGTTCTGGGTCTCTTGTTGCGGCAAACACCTTACCTTCGCCATGGCAAAAGAGGAATCTCGCTGAGGTGCCTAGCTTTGTTCGTCGTTTCGAGCTAACCCTTTTGTCCTGGTGAAATGCATAATCCCTGACAGAAATTCATAACATTCTAAAATCTAACTTTTAAGGCTTTTATCCATTCCTGGAATTTTCAAAAATCTAATGTTATCTTTACAACCATTCATAATCAAAACTTTAATTTTCAATAGCAAAGTTCAACACTTGCCTATTCAGTTTTTCCTATTTCTAAATCTCATCATAAAAGTTACTTGGTTAGAGGCTTCCCTTGGAGGAGCCAGGAGAAGAGATGAGTAAGAATTTCACGTTACTTGAACTCCGAGAGTAACTTGTGAGATAGCTGAATCATTTCTCTAATATTCTTTGATTGTTTAAATTTACTATAAGAACAAAGCATAAAGCTGGATCAAAAGCTAATAAAATATTCCCAACAGGTTACCCTAAAACCCCAATTAGGTGAGGAGGAGGAAGAATGAAGAAGATAAAAGAAAATGGAAAGACCAGAGTTGCTGATAGTCACTGACGGAGTTCTCAGAATTTTCCAAAAAGTTGCTCTGGGTTATTCCTAGCAGAGAAACCCCACTCTTTAAACTCTTAAACTCCAAAAAGTGATGGCTCGTACAACCCTCTTCTGTATTTAAAATTTTAATCATTTGCCATGGCAAACTCGTTTTAATGAAACATCACGCTTTAGGCTTTCATCACGGCAATCCTCACTCTTCGCTACGACGAGCTGTCCTGAAAGGAGAATGTTACAACGTATACAGATAAATTGAGCCTCTTTATATTATTTTCAAAAATCATCAAGTAAATAGTTCTTAATTCTTGAAAATTTTTGAAATTACTTGATTTGCGGTTGACCTTTTTTTTTTTAATATGAATTCTAAATATCTCTCTCACTTTTTAGAAACTTAAAAAGGTGCAATTAATTCTTTATGTAAATACGTTGAAATTGGTAAAAATGTATTTAATGTTCTGCCATACCTAAACAGGATCTTATAAATAGTACTCCCTCCGTTCCTTATTATAAGAGACATTTGATACTTATGGCATGTTCTTATATATAAGAGACACTTAAAAGTTGTCTTTACTTTTTTGTGTTGATTTCCTATTTTACCCATATTTATTTTTTCTCCAATTCACACTCTCTCTCCCTCCCACTTCTCTTTCTTTTAATAATTTAATTGTTCTCTCTTATGCTCTCTCTCCTTATTAATAAGGGCATTTTTGGAAAAAAAATTATACTTTTTACACATTGATTGTTCTTAACTAATTTTAACTGCTTTTTTTATCAACGTAATTCGGTTATTCGTCTCTTATAATAAGGAACGGAGGGAGTATCAAACTAAGAGGGAGTTTGTCAACCCTTATAATCACATAAAAAAAGTGTTTTACATACTCTTTTGGGCCCATTTATA